ATCTGATCCCGTCCATGATGGGAGAGGCTCGGGTGGTGCTGCCAAGACGAGGTAAACTCAGCTGGGAAAAGGGGAGCTAAAGCCGGGGGGGATTTATCTTTTCCCAGGGGATTAGCCTTCTGACATGGAATGTCCAGTGTGTTCACCCAGCCTTGGTGCCATGCCTGATGCTGGGGGGATGCTGCAGCCTCCCCAGGGCTGTGCACAACACAAGAGGCTTGTTAAAGCAGCAGGCTCAGCCAAAAGAGCCAGGAAAAGGGAAGAATTGAGGTGGATCCCTCTGAAGCCAAAGTAGCAGGAGCTGAAGGCACTGCCCTGCTCGGGGTAGTCCTGCCCTCCCTTGGGACCCATCAAGGGGGGTGACAGCACAGTGTGCCCCAAGCCAGCTCCTGCACAGCTCAGGGCTTTGCCCATTCATGAGAAAACAAACCTTATTCATTAGGCTCAGGAATTGCCATGGAAACCGTTCCCCAGCGTGGCTGGAGCATCTCTCACTGTACAGGGATCTCCCCATGTGAAATGGTGTGAAACCCCCCCAAAACAGCAGCTATGGCCTGGCACATCCATGTAAACCACTCTGGCTCCTTCCACACTGCATTCAGACACAGTCACTGCTGCAGCAAGAACCCAGAGATGCTTTCCACCCTTCCTCATCAAGACACTCTTGTTTTAATTGCAACTGCCCATTATGCGCTTCCTTCTGCTGTGCTACCTCCCAAATCACTTTAGGGGCCTCTGTCCTGGCTCCGCTTAAACTTCAGGGCATGGCTTCAGTCTGAGATTTCAGACAGAAAGCATCTCCCTTCAGCCACGAGTCCACAGCACAGAAACAGCTTGGCCTATACACCCCAACAACCCTGTTTGATGGAGGAAACCTCTCGCTGGCATTGCCTTTGCTGACTCGGCACACACCACCAATGTGCATGTAAAGTCCCTCTTATGATGCTATGAGTGCAAACCTGCATGAGATCATTACTGCATTAATGATGCAGTTCCAAAACTGGTAAATGCATCTTAAAAGTGTCAGTCTGCAGGAATCAGAGGGCTCAGCCACTGCAGGAGGAGGGGAAAAGCTGATTTTGTTCCTCTTTTTAGACTGACAGCTAATTTTAAAGGGAGACTTAAGGAGATCACGCACCATCACGGAGCCAGAGTTTGCTGTTGACAAGGGGCTTTTGGAAAGCTCTGGGTATAAAGATCCAGGATTTATCACTCTGGTACCAAGATGAAAGCCCTCACTTGCATTAAGCGGCTGCATACCTGGAAAGGCAAGAAATCGGGAAGTAAAGCCCACTAAATACTCTTATTTCCAAGACTGGGATGGGGGATGAAGGGTTCCACTGGAGCACAGGCAAACGGAATAGGAACAGAGCCACAAATAACACCAGGAGCCTCTAAGCCAGCCACAAATCAATCCCCTACACGCTAAAGCCTGTCTCAAAGACAATGCACATCTTCTAGCATCACACCAAGGAGAGTCTGCCCAATTCCACACCTGAGAAGTGCTTTTAACTAACACACAGGCTGCTCTGAGCTGGGAGACGTCTCTACTTTTACTTCTATTCCTCTGGAATAGCTGGAGGGTCATTTCATTTATGTTTCATGGCTTAGGACCCCAGTAACCGGCTGGACTCAGCCCTCTGGGTGCTGCTCATGGGCTTTTCCTTACGCTCTGCCTTAGTGAAGGAGCAGCATGTACTTCCCCCAGATGTGGACAAAAGATGTGCATTCAGGGCTTGAGAAGGTGGGTGATGCCCAGCTGGCCCCTATGGGCACCTCCTATGAGGAGGCAGAAGCACATGTGTGCTGTAATGGTTGTAATTAGGTAGAAGAATGTCTTTATGGAGAGGAGGGACTGGGGTAGGCAGCACTGCCCATGGAGCTGAGGCTGCTCCAGGCAGGCAGCTTGAAGAACCTCTGGATCTCCAGTTAAAGCCTTTACATGGTACGACTTTAAACCAGATACAGAAGCCCTGGCCCCAACCAGAAACGTGCCTTTCCCACTCCCAGCATCAAAACACTGGGAAAACCTGCAGAAGAGGGGACCTGCTTGAACAAAGAGCAACCCCAGATCTATTTTTCTTGTCATCCTCTGTATCTTCCCTGCCTGGCAGGAGGGATGGTTTTTTTTTTCCCTCTCAGCTTGCTGTCTTCTGATAGGAAATCTGATTTTTTAATAGAAATAATGCAACAGTTAATGCTGGCAATGGGATGGGGAAGATTTACAGCAGCTGTCTGAAAAGTCTCCAGCATGTATGCTATTTCTATCTTAAAAGCAAGTCCTCGAGATCCTCGCTGCAGGCTCCAGCTCCCAGCCACGCTCCCACATCTTGCTGAAGCCGGGATGTTTAAGGAAGACAAATCGTTCCCATTACCACTTGTGCTGCCAAGTGAGTCTGATTTGAGGAGGTGCTGCCAAACCCCTTCGGCATCACGCACAACACATCCCCAGCCTGCTTATGGGGCATGAGAAGTGCCATGTAAATGGGTGGTGATGCCAAGACATGGGATGCTATGCTCCGACACCGACTTCCTCTGTCCCCTTTGGCAAGTTGCTCCCTGGGCCAACTCAACATCTCCAAGCTTTCTGCCAGGAGCTGCTGTTTCCCATCTGGAGCCATTACAGGGAATATCTGGCCCTAATCCCGGAGCTGGGAACCCTAACCCTGGTATCCAGCCCACACCGTTCTGCAGTGTGTATGCCCACAGCAGCCACAGGCATGGGGCTCACCCAGCGTGCTCCCTGAGATGCTCAAGAGGCAATGGATAAGACATCCAATGCCTGGTAATTGCTGTCAACAGTTCTCATGCTTGTTAATCAGTGTTCCAGCCCTCCAGGCTCTTTACCTTGCAGAAGCAATGCCGGGTCTCCTGGGGCAGCAGAAAGCAGTTGCAGAGGGAGGTGAGGACCTTGGGGATGAGAGGAAGGGTTTGTGCCTAGGGAATGGGTGTGAAAACTGCCCACAATGGGTTTTCAAGCCTCTTTCTGCTTTGGCCAGCAGCAGCTGCTGCCTCAGACCTGAAAAGCTCTTTGCCTTGGCTGTTACTCTCCCAGCGAAAGCCCTGCGTGCTAATAAAGCTGCTCATTTTCTCCTGCCCACCAGACCTCCCACCAGATAGGAACCGACAGCAGCGAAACATTTCTCTGCTTTAACTGAGCTCGCCCACTGGGATCCCACAACGTTCATTATCTCCTGGGTGATTACACACAAGCCCACCGTAAGGAAGGACAGAAGAGCTGCATCCGGGCTAACCCAAACGCAGCACCTTCAGGTGTATTTTGGTACGTGGCAATGTATGTGGGGATGAATTCCTCACGTTGCTCTGAGGACAACTACAGCTCTGATCTCCACGGACGTTTAATCAAAGCAAACCCTTCAACAGCTTGGTCTTGCTTTCCTCAACTTGATTTATGTCTCATTTGAGGGTGGATGCAAGAGCAGGGAAGAAAATGAGAGAAGCAATGAGGCAGGAGGGCTGGAATGAAAGCACTAGTGCCAGGATGGGGGGAAAAAATCATTCTGCTGGCCTGCTTCCTGTACCCCTGATGAGGATTTGGATGTAATGACACCGCATCACATCACATCCATCCACACCATGATGATGTGTCACTGTCAGTACTCAGGGAGGGTGATTCTGAGCCATGGGCATCCCACCACAGCTTATAATGAATAATGTGACTATTTCTGTGTTACCTGAAAGGATTCACGCTGTTCTACATAATGAAATACTCTCCTCTTCGTCTCTTTTATGCCCCTGGAGTGTGAAAGCTTTTTGGCAAAAAGCATCCGTTCTTGGTGGGTTGGAAGGTACCCAACGCACAGAGCAACTGCCAGAGCTGAACCACAGAATCACAGCATGCTTTGTGTTGGAAGGGACCTTAAAGCCCATCCAGTCCCAACCCCTGCCACGGGCAGGGACCCCTTCTACTGGAGCAGCTTGCTCCAAGCCCCTGTGTCCAACCTGGCCTTGAGCACTGCCAGGGATGGGGCAGCCACAGCTTCTCTGGGCACCCTGTGCCAGCGCCTCAGCACCCTCACAGGGAAGAGCTTCTGCCTAAGAGCTCAGCTCAGTCTCCCCTCGGGCAGGTTCAAGCCATTCCCCTTGGCCTGTCCCTACAGGCCCTTGTCCCAAGCCCCTCTCCAGGTTTCCTGCAGCCCCTTTAGGCACTGGAGCTGCTCTAAGGTCTCCCCTTCAGGAGCCTTCTCTTCTCCAGGCTGCCCCAGCCCAGCTCTCTCAGCCTGGCTCCAGAGCAGAGCTGCTCCAGCCCTCGCAGCATCTCCACAGCCTCCTCTGGCCTCACTCCAACAGCTCCACGTCCCCCTGTGCTGCTGCCCCAGAGCTGGATCAGGGCTGCAGGGGGGGTCTCCCCAGAGCACAGCAGAGGGGCAGGATCCCCTCCTTGAGCTGCTGCTCACGCTCTGGGGGTGCACCCGGCACATGGGGGGGTTCTGGGCTCAAGCGCACACTGAAGCTGGGTCATGGGGAGCTTCTCCTCACCCAGCACCCCAAGTCCTTCTCCTCAGGCTGCTCCATCCAGGCTCCCTCAGCCTGTGTTTGTGCTGAGATTGCCCTGACCCATGTGCAGGACCTTGCACTTGGCCTTGTTGAACTCCATGAGCTTCACACGGTCTCACCTCTCCAGGCTGTCCACGTCCCTCTGGATCCCATCCCTTCCGTACAGAGCATCAATGACACCTCACAGCTCGGTGTCATTGGCAAACTTGCTATGGGTGTTCAATCCCAACGTTCATGTTGGCAACAAGGCAGGGAAATTACCAGGGATGAAGCCTCTTCTGTGGCCAGAATTAAAAGGATCATGGGCAATGCATGGGAAGCAACACTGAAAAACCTGCCATCATCCCAACCAAATTGAAGCCAGGTATAAAAACTACTGTTAATGATGAGGATGACTATTAAGGGGCACTGGCACATAGAAGCAAGCTCTCCCACAGACCCCCTGGAATGATCTTGGTGTGTAAATGAAATGCAGGACTTACCCTTTGCTCCTGGGTGGCCACAAAGGTCTGGAATCCAGGGGCCACCCCGAATCCCAGCTCCTGGACAAAGGGTGGCTCAGACTGGCTGTGGATCTGGACTTTGACTCCAGCCTCAAACGTTGTCTCCTCTGGAAGAAGAAGGCAGGAGGTTAGGAGGCTGTGGTGGCTTGAATGGTGTCTCCCTGCACGGGCCTCTCTGCCCCTCCATGGAATACAGTGTCTGGTAAAGCTGTGCTGCTCGGGAGCAGGAGACAAGCAGTTGGGAGCGCTCCACCTGCATGGTGACACTTCTGGGCATTGAGGAAGAAAACCCAGCAGCAGCAGCATGAGCAGAGGACAGCCTGGACTCAGCCCACAGCACCAGTGCTGCCCATCGGGACCAAGAGCATCCCCACGCTCCTGGTCCTTTACACTGCTGCCTATCCCAAGGACTCACCCTGTCTATAACACAGATGCATGATTTCTCCAGCTTGCTCTGTACGTCCAAGCTAGAGAAAACAGGAGGTGACATCTACTTTCTAGCTGCTGTTTAGTTACAGAATTCATTCCCTTATTACTGAAACAAATAAACTCTTTCCTCCATACAGAGGTTTCTACTGTCCATAAGGTCTCCTATGCTGAAAGCCTTTGATGCAGCCGGAGGCCACTTGGGAGACAATGTAGGGAATTAAATAACCAAAAAGTGGGTTACATTCAAAGGAGCTCATGTTTTTGGCAAGCTGAAGTTGCTCCAAGCTGGACAAAGGCATTTGCAGCCCAGAGGCTGACACATCACTGAGTTAAGGGTGACGCAAGGTTCCCACATCCCAAAGCTATGCTGAATACCAAGTAACTTGAGGTCAGTCCCCCTCTTCCACTAGGAGCTAAAACCAACCTAAAAGAGACTTTATGAAGCAGAATTAATGGGATGCAAATCAGCCCCGAGTGTGACATAGGAACACTCTGGGCTCCTCTCATCACATAGGCATCTCCACACAGCTGGGGCATGCAACCTTCCTCTCCTTAGTATTGCTGCTATGGTCTCACATCTCAGCCAACTGGAGGGAGCATATGGGCCTAAGGGGTGGGGGGCTGATATGCAAAGTTAGTTGTTAACTCTGCATAATTTGGTTTCAATACTGTGTTACCCACTAATACGAATCCATGCCTCTGGCCAGCAATACCACCTCCATGTCTAAACAGCTTCTGTTTAAAGATGAATCATTCTTTATTTTCTTACTATTTTGTGGTGTTTTTCTACTATTTTGTTATGTATTGAACAGCACTGTGTTCAGTCAGAAGCACTGACAGAAACTCAGCACCAAGGAATCATAGCCACAGAGCTGTTACACCAGGAGACAACAGAAGACACTAGAGCAGGGGATGATAGGGTCACAGGAAAAGGGCAAGGGCTGAGTAAGGTGATACTGGATGACATGGGATTTACAGATCAGATATTGGGACCACACTGCTTAAGAAGATGTAACTGCTGACTCAATTGGGCAGCAAACACATCAGCCTTCCTCTCCCAAGAGGACTTTCTTGGACCCTGCTCACCTCATAGCTCTCAAGGCAAATGAAGCCAGAGACTGCAAGGATGGGAATGGGCTTATGCATGGATTTGTCATGCTGAACATGACAGTGACAGTGCTTAACAAGTGATGGTCCAAGAAGGTTGCACCGGAGACCTCTGGAGACCCCAGCAAGATACGCTGCTGTCACCTTCACTCCCACTGAGCAAATAAACCCTCCCTGCCAACCTCAAACCACAGACTGCATAAAATCATATCAGAGAACCCCACACTGCTTTGGGTTAAAGGGACCTTAAAGCTCCTCCAGCTCCAACCCCTGCCACAGGCAGGGACCCCTTCCACTGGAGCAGCTTGCTCCAAGCCCCTGTGTCCAACCTGGCCTTGAGCACTGCCAGGGATGGGGCAGCCACAGCTTCTCTGGGCACCCTGTGCCAGCGCCTCAGCACCCTCACAGGGAAGAGCTTCTGCCTAAGAGCTCAGCTCAGTCTCCCCTCGGGCAGGTTCAAGCCATTCCCCTTGCCCTGTCCCTACAGGCCCTTGTCCCAAGCCCCTCTCCAGGTTTCCTGCAGCCCCTTTAGGCACTGGAGCTGCTCTAAGGTCTCCCCTTCAGGAGCCTTCTCTTCTCCAGGCTGAGAATTGCCTTCAGCTTTAAGGAGCAAACAACATTTTTAAAGCCTCACCGTGACAGCAAAGCTGCTTTACACATTGGCTCCACAAAACCTGATGCTCTGCACCCGCAGCCACATCTCATCCAACAGCATCTCCACATCTCAAGCATTTGACCCTGGCAACCTTTGCAGATGGAGCTCTGAAACTTTCAAACTCCATCTTTTCTACCTAAGGCACAAATTGAAGACAAACAGGACTTGCACAAAGTTCCCTCCCCAGGTCTTGCATACAGCTGCAAATATCCGGGATGGCAGTGAGCTCTCCACACACTTGGTCAGGGCTCAGTTCCAAGCAGTTGGAGCTGGACTTTCAGCCAGAGATGTATTGACCTGCAGGGCTCACTCTTAAACACACGCTCTCATCGATTGATGCCTCTGGCGCTCACACTTACCTACCTGCCCATGCATGAGCTCTGCAGTGCTCCATGCAAACTAATCATTTATTTTTGCTTCCTTGTGACAAAAGTGCTTTTGGTAGCTAAATATTGCCATGACTTAGGGCACGGAGCATTGCTTGCTGCATGGGATGGCATGCAGTGAATGCGGAGCTTGAGTGAATGCGGAGCTTGAGTGCATCTCCTCTGAATCCCATCCTGGTGGGATGCTGCCACAGAAAGTACAAGTTAATTTCGGCTTTTCCCTACACTGAAGCCTCCCAGAGCAAGACTGGCATTGACCATCCTTGCTCTTGGCCTGTACTTATGTGCAAGATCCAACATCCACAACCCAAATCACTCCCCACCACCTTCCCGTGATGGAGGCAACACAACCCTACTGTGACAAAACCCTGCCTTGCTTTTGCTCAGCTGTAATTGGGCTCCCGTTGCTCCAAGAGGCATTACATGGATGTTGACACATTCAAGCTCCCTGTCAGCTCAAGCTTTGCATTCCCAACACATGGGGGTTCCATTTGAGGGTCTCCTCCCTGCCAACACCTCCTCAGAGCTGACCCTCTGAAACACCCCAGTGCTGAGGGTCAAGCCACCTTTCCCCAGAGCCTTTGTCAATGCAGTGTCCCCATCCAACCTCATCACTGCTCAACAGCACCACAGCGGCCCTGAGCTCTGCAGAGGGTTCAGCACCCAGATGCCCCATGGGTGAGCACACACCAGAACGGGTTCAAACCCCTTCCCAAGCACCCACCAACTCCTCCAGTGTCAATCCCCATCCTGTTATTCCCACATGACGCCCACTCCTACTGATCCCACCTGCTCCATCACTTTGCCTGGTGTTGATCCCCTTCCAACACTTCAGAGGAGATACCATATGCTCCCTTCAGCAGTTACCTGCCAAGTTGGAGGAGAACGCTTCTATTTAGTCTCACTTGTTGGGCAACGGGAACAGTTTTGTCGAAACATTTTCCATCCCAAATTATTCTGCCCTTTTTTTACACCAGGATCTGCTCTGCTCTGACTCAATTCCATGTATTTCCCATGCCTAGGTGTTGCCCTGAAGTCTATCTGTGGATAAACCCCTGTACATTCATATCAAATCCATATCAAACAAACAAATCTAATGGAATCATACAATCATAGATCAACTAGATTGGAAAAGGCCTTTAAAATCATCAAGTCCAACTATTACCCCAGGACTGCCTATAGCTTGCAACTATCCATACGAGGCTTAAAAGCAACAGGATTTGTATTTTTAAACAGAAAACCATGGCATGCAGGCAGCTGTAACCACGGCCGGGGAGGGGACAGCAGTTTTGAGGCCATAGAAGAAGCTCTGCTTTTAAAACATGCAGTTATTAATTTTCATCAGTGATGAAAAGCAGCATAAACAGCATTTTTTGTGGAGAAGCTGCCAACCCCCCAGCAGCATTCCATGATTTTCCTGCAAGAACCATGCGAGGATGAAGCTATAAACATGAAACTGGCTTTGAATACTCTACTTCTAAGAAATCATTTACTACAAACTCCCATTTGCCACCACGAGAGAGACATTAAAAGCCCAACTATGAAACCCTTTGATGAAATATGCCTGGACCAGTCCTCATTAGCTGCATCTCAAATGGTTCCAAGCTCCGTGCTGGGCCTGAGAACCGTTAATGTGGGTTAAACACTTGCTGCAAGCATAAGGAAGAGGAAGGTCTCACAGGACCCAGAAGCACAAGACTTGTCTGGTTCTGGGTGCATCCAGCTAAAATGAACATCCCTGAAGCAGAGCAGAGCCCAAAAGGTTCTGTGGCAAACCCCGGCCATCACCCTGGCCATCATCCTGATTCTGGATGGGTGCATCCAGGGCTGTGAACACCCACAGAGACGTGTCCCAGCCATGGTTTTGCCAATTCTTGCAGTTTTAGCATCATTTGGAATGGCTTCTTCCAGTAGTACCTCCTGCAGGCACAGGCCTGAACACTGGTCCTGCTGCTTCGTTGAGCCTGTTTCTGTTAATCACCCATCAATAGGGTGAAAAATAACCCTGAAAACCCTTTGACAGTATCTGAAGGGAGCTACAAGGATGCTGGAGAGGGACTCTTCATCACGGACTGCAGTGATAGGACAAGGGGTGACGGGTTCAAACTTCAACAGGGGAAGCTCAGAATGGAGATAAGGAAGAAGTTCTTCCTTGTGAGGGTGCTGAGGCACTGGCACAGGGTGCCCGAAGAAGTGGTAGGTGTCCCATCCCTGCAGTGTTCAAGGCCAGGTTGGACATAGCCTTGGGTGACATGGTTTAGTGTGAGGCGTCCCTGCACGTGGCAGTGGGGTTGGAACTGGATGATCTTAAGGTCCTTTCCAACCCAAACCATTCTATGATGCTATAACTAGCTCAAACGGCAGAGAAACTAAAACTAAATTGCAGTGACCCAGGATTTGGGTCATACCTTACCATTTTTAAACTGATTTTGTGATGCTGGGAAGCCCAATCACAGCCCTTCACTCCATCTCCATTCCTACATTTCAGAGGACCAGTGCCTGTAAATTCATTTCTCAGTCCATCCAGGTT